TAGTCAACTGACTTTTGACAAGAAACAAAGGCAATATAATGAAGAAAAGATATGTTTTTCTACAAATGATACTGGAACATCTGGACATCCAAATGCAAACATATATATAAAGGCCTTGACATTCCAACTTACAAAATTGTCATTCAGTTTAGACCATAGACCGAAACGGAAATGCAAAACTATGAAACTTCTAGACAATAACACGGGAGAAAATCTAGATGACCTTGGGTTTGGCAATCAGCTTTTTAAGATGCAACACCAAAGGCAGACTCATGAAAGAAAACTGATAATCTGGACTTTACTAGAATTTCAAACTTCTATGCAAAAAAATATCAGTTTTAAGAGACAGAAAGACAAGCTACAGCCTGGGAGAAAGTATCTGCAAAACACATATCTAATATAAGACATCTATACAAAATATATCAGGAATTCTAAAACCAAAAATATGAAAACAACCAACCTATTCATTGCAGCTCAATTCACAATAGCTAAGACATGGAATCAACCCAGATGTCCATCAACTGAAGTCCCCAAAAGACAAATACCATATTTTCCCCTGGTCTGTGGTAAATAACAGAGCACCTAAAATGTAATCTATAGGAGTGAAATTGACACTTTGAGATGTGATGACTTTTAACAGCCCTTGACTTGACTGTTAAAGAAGAGTTTTGTATTTTTTGTGTTTTTTTTTTCCTCATACTATTTGTTGAACTCTTTTCCTAGTGTAAGGTTAATCTTATGTGTACAAAGTTGATTGAAAATAGAACTTTGTAAAAAATTAAGAATGGGGCTAGCAGAGGGAAGAGAAGGATGGGTGGGAGTACAGGCAGGAAGGAGGGCAGGGTCGGAAGAGCCATTATGTTCCTAAATTTGTATATATGAAAGGCATGAAGTTTGTACACCTTAAATAAATGGTTTCTAGGTAAAATACATAAATAAATAAATAAATAACAAGCAGGCAAAAATCTGATCAGCCAATTCACCAACAAGTTACGTAGATGGCAAATTAGCCTATGAAAGGTATCCCACACCATATTTCACTAGGAAACTGTAATTTAAAACATCAAGATACCATCATACATGCATTAGCATGTCAAAAATCCAAAATATGGACAACATCAAATGCTGGAAAGGATGTTGAGCAACAAGAACACTATTTATTGCTGGTGAGAATGCAAAATGGCATAGTCACTTTGAAAGCGAGTTCCACAGTTTTTTCTAAAGTTAAATACAGTCTGAGCATACAAACCAATAATCTCATCAGCCAAAAAGTCTACACACAAGTGTTTATAGCGACTTTATCCATACACCAAAACTCAGAAGCAAACAAGAGGTCCTTCAATTTATGAAAGGAGAAAGGAGACTGACACTGACAGTTGAACAGTAGGGATGAATCTTTTGAATCCAATGTATAAATCAAAATCCTGCTGGGTGATCAGATAGTTTGTTTCTATGTTTCTCAAGGCAGATAGGTTTCAGCATATCCCCAGACATTGTGAATTTTGTTCAATTATGATCATCCATGCATGAGCTAACAAACTCATTTTTAAAACTGAAAGCAAAGGCACTGTTTTTAGTTTTTGAAACAAACTAGAGATATGGGCTTACACTCATGATCAGGTTATATAATTTTTAATGTACTAAAACATTTATTCAAGGAGAATATTGCTTTCTATGTTTAATTATAAACAGATTAATTTTTCAACTGAAGATTCATGGGAAAGTACAGGTGTTCAAGTTAATACTACAGACTGTCATAAACCTAAACGACAGCTGTTCTTCAAATAACTTTAAAAATGAACAATACAAAAGTAGATCCTTACACGTTTTCCCTCAAAAAACCTTACAGTGATGTTTTATGTTAATTCTGTGAACACTGCAAGAATAGATATCATAAAGGATGAGTGGAGGACCAATATGTCTGCAGATGTGTCTGTACTATGTGATGTCATGAAATTGAAAGGCAGTAGCCTGGTTATACATAGGACCAGATAATGACTAAGTCTGAATTGCCACTATTATAAAGTATTGATATAATACTCAATAGGCTAGTAAAATTAAAAGAAAAAATATCTGAAATTATTTCAACAACAGATATTTAACTTTTTTTATTTCTATCACAACAGAGACTGTTTATCTTTTATATATCTCACTTAATTCTTTTGCTAATGAATATATGTACGTTATCATCAAAACTTTTTGTTTAAAAAGAACAAGTGCATACTTATGACTAGTAAGAAAGGCAAGTGAATACCAGAAATTGAAGCTGAATCAATAGTATTATCACTACTATAAAAACTGTGGTAAATATACATATGTAATGGAATAATACTTTGGCATAAAAAAGAATGAAATCCTGTCTTTTGCAACAAAATGGATACAATTGAAGACCATTATGCCTAATGAAATTAGCCACATTCCAAAAGACAAATATCATATACTTTCCCTGATTTTTGGTAACTAACATACAGAGTACAAAAAATGTAATATATATGACCAAAATTGACATTTTCAGATTTGATTATTATTATTTATAGATCTTGTCTATACTCTTGAGGAATTGTAGTTTTTCTACCTACCATTTGTTGAATTCTCTATTTAGAGGAGGGTTAAACTTGTGATTAAAAAGAAAATCTAAATTATATCATTGTAAAAATTAAAAGAAAAATAGGGAAAGAAGGAGGAGGAGGGAATGGTGGGAAGCATCATTATTCTCTTAAACCTGTATATGTTAAATACATAAAATCTGTTCCCTTTATATACATTTTTTAAGAAGTTGAAAAAAAGAAAATCTTCCTTAAATTTTTCAAGTAACTAATTTCCTTATCGACGTGGGAGCTCATTCAACTCAAGTGAACTCACTTCTAGCCATGTGACACATTAATTTTAGTGGGAAGCAGTGAATATAACAAGTCTGAAAAATATTTTCTTTACAGTTCAATTCATTCCTACAAGTATTGTGTAACCATGCAATAATGAAATTAAACACCTAAAATGCTAAAGCACTTTTTCAAATAAAAGCTAAAATATACCACTCATTTTTAAAGTAAAATCATATAAACATTTTGAAAATTTTGATTTTATATGGTTTCTCAAGTGGCATGGATTTGTGCCCACTTATCCTGACTCTTTCACATGGCAGCTCTTTTATAGACAAAATTTACTTTGAACAATGTCATCTTTCAGAGACACTCTCATGATATGATCCAACAGCCAAATTCTAATCTTCCTCATTTAAGAAGCATCACAAAATCTTCATCAGTTTCTTTATACTGTATATAACCAAAATATACAGAATTAAATTCAACTATTCCATTTTCACTCTGTTATTCCATAGATGACAAAAAAAGTTTTCTACTTCTCACATAGCTGACCTCATTAAAAATTCCATTTAGTTCCAAGAAATTGTGTAACTTAATGGCCCCCATGAAAACACAAGATCCTCCTAATCCTGCCTCATGTTATTTTTGTAAAGTTTATGAAAGTAAAGAGGAATATCTTACAAAAACCTCTACAATAAGTTCAATGTAGTCTATATTAAATTTTACTTTCAGTATGATTATCTAGATGTGAAATCTAATTAAAAGACAGAAAAGAGATACATACACCCAATTCCATGAGAATTGGGTGAAAAATAGAGTATCAAATTAGTTTTTGTAAATAAAAATAAATGGAATACAATGATCAAAGATAAAAATGTTGAAATTAGCATCTGTTATAATAAAACTTTTTTGTGGTTTAGGGTAACCCCTAGAATTAACATTCTATGATTACAATATTACAAAGGAAACTCTTTTAATAGATTGTTTTAACATGACTTGTAGCAATAGTGTAGGCTTTAACTCTGGAAAAAGGCAAGAGGAAGAACATTCTGACTTTGAGGATATTAGATCATCTCATAATCCATGAAAGGAGCAAGTACCCTTTTACAAAGATAAAACAAAAATGTGAAAAGCATGAGAGAAAATACAGGAAATGTGGATAAAAACCAAGGTAGGAAATTATACATACAATACCAAGAGTTCCAGAAAGAAAGGCCCAACAGTGGTGAAATATAAAAGATAGAAGGCCAGAAAACTTCCAGAGACAGAGGGGCTGTCCTGCAAAAGGTGCACCAAGGGTTGTGCAGAAGGATTCAATTGCTCACATTCCTACACATGGCAATGAATTCACAGGAAGGATGAGTGGGAAAAGGACAAACAAGCGACCCATGTTCGCATGATCAGCCCTTTGATGCTACTTGATTGTTCTAACTCTCAGTGTATTACTGTGATGGAACCCACTAACTACGTAATGATGATGAACATTAAATTCCAGACAATCTGAATTTACTTTCATCGACAATGTGTGGGATCAACAAATCATTTACAGTTATATATGGGGAACTTTGAAAAGTTCATGGAAAACAAGGAATTAAAAGTTAAGTTTGTTTTGGTGCAAAACAATTTGAAATCCATGTACAACTTCTCTTTTTTTTAAACTTTTATTTAATAAATATAAATTTCAAAAGTACAACTTTTGGATTATACTGGCTTTTCCCCCCATAACCTCCCTCCCACCTGCAACCATCCCATCTCCCACTCCCTCTCCCATCCCATTCTTCATCAAGATTTTCAATTATCTTTATATACAGAAGATCAACTTGGTATACACTAAGTAAAGATTTCAACAGACTGCACCCACACATAATGCCCATTTCCATGAACTTTTAAAAGATCTGTCATATTGTTACAGTTAATAATTTTAGCTAAATATTTATTATTATATATCTAAAAAGTACACAGAGCTTGAAAATTGAGAGTATATTCACAAATTAAAAAAATCTCCGTGTGCCTTTGAATTTAAATACTTGATACTAACATTTTCAAATATAAAATAAATTAATGCCTTAATCATGATACTTATGCTTAGCCCTTGCCAAAACTGCAACCACTGCATGAATATCACATTTAAGCCACCAGAAATACAGCCTGCAGGACCAATAAAATTCACATAATTACCTGCCGTGGGATCTGTCACTGCCTGGCTGGTGATGCCAGATGGTGGTTCTTGAAGCTGGTACGTGGCGTTGGTGGACGGCGTCGTTGGGCTGGTGTTGCTGCTTGTCATATAGTGTGCTGGGTATGGTGAGCTGTTGTAGTACTGTGCGTACTGACCCTGGCCAAAACTGGGATAAGATGGATAGTCCTACCAAATCAAATCACATGCGAAAAGTCTGTCAATAAACTGCTGCTTAGTCCTTATGTTTCAAAGTATAATTGTAAATATGTCTGTGTTTTTGTGTCTCTTCTGAATTCTCATAGGACATCCTACAAATCACATTAACTGAAGAGCTCAGACTTGCCAACAAACTCTAGGTTTGATGATAGAGTCTTTAGCCTTCACATATATTTCTATGTTATGGTGCAGAAGTAGGCAAAATTAAACCAATCTGAAAAGCAAACTCACTATAAAAGAGTGCTAAAAAAAATCTTTAAAAGAAAAAAAAAAACTATTAAAAGGCAGAGGAAAGGTCTTACTTACTTAGAGTGTAATATAAACCGATCTTTCTTTATATAAGAAAATCACGTATTTTGAAATATGTCAGAGGTTAAATGGGCTTTTCAAATTACCTGCTGTGAACTGTTAAATCCAGAGGAATTTGTGAGCGAATTATTTCCTGTATATAATCCTGATGATGTTGTAAAACTACTACCTAAAACAAAGTGAAAAGACACAGAGTTTACTAAGCCATATATAATGACATGACAGTAGAAATTTCATTTCCATAAGATACACTTGAGTTTGGTTTATCTTTAATTATAGAATTCATCATTAAGGATAACATTTCAATTTCCTAAAATAGTTGATTTTATTTTCATTTTTACAAAGAATTACAAAGTAAAGAGGTTACACTTCTGAGGACAAAAGCAACTCACATAAACTACAGACAGAATTAGACACTAAATTTTCTATTTCAATTTGTAAAGCATACCAAGATTTTTCATATCTTTACACAAAATCTGCATAGTACGAAAAAGTAGGATTATATTAGGTAGTCTGTACAGTTCCTGCCAGCTCCACAAATTACAACGCTTCTTCCAAGAACCCTAAATGCTTTCAGATGGTCATTATTTATATGGTCATAACAGTGGCCCATTGAAAAGCTACTGTCTGATTTCATTTCTCAGAAAAGTGAATGGAATCACTGGAAGAATTTGATACCATGAAGATCAAGAGGAACATGATCAGTGTTTTATTTAGTACATGTGCTGTCAAGGTAACATTCTATTTGCTGAACGTCCACACTGTTGAACAATCAACAGGAGGCACATACTATAAACAGCAGGACACAATAGAAGAACATTTTAGTCCCCTCCTTCAAATTTACTCCTTATTATTAATCTCTACAAAAACAAAAATACACTAATTTTGATGAAAATATATAAAACTATGCTTATTAAACATTGTAAAATGGGGTTTTAATAGGTACAACATTTCCATTGGGTTATTTGGGAGGTACCTGGGAAATTTTGTATACCCTTTAGTTTAACAATTTTACTGCCATGAATTTATTCTAAGAAAAAAAATTGTGGATTTATACAAAGAAATAATTAGCAAAGATGTTTTTTAGTATTGGTTCTAACCACAAAACAAAAATGAGCCTGAATCCCGAATAGGTGTTACTCAGAAAATGGCATACTGCGAACCTGTTAAAATGGCATTTTGAGATTGTTTATAAACATGGGAAATTTTCATATTATTTTATGGAAGTAAAAGCTACGAATAACCGAGAATACTTTAGACGATCTTGTTTAAAAACATTTTTAAAGCAAAAAGCACAAAAATCTCACAAATGTTATCTCTGAAGGATTTGAGATATGGTCACATAATAGTCATTAAGCCAGTGGACACTTTTAAATTTTCTACTCAGGAGTTGTGTTGCTTTGTAATTAGAAACAAAAGGTGCTTTTTAAAAATTAAAACTGTACAGCAAATGAATAGGTAGAAGCATACAAAGGGTCTTTAAAAGGTTCATAAAAATGGGTATTATGGAAAACTAAGCATGGATTTCAAAATTTTAAACCCAAATAAAGTTTTCTTTTAATTCCATGTTCCATTAACATTTTGAAGTACTCTCCTATTTACTTGCTACTGAACATTTCAGTACTGACTTAAAAGACAACATAGACTAGAGTTTTTGGCTCGTTACTTTACATGGCTTGGACTTTGAACAACTTACCTAATCATTCTTGGGTGTAATTTCTTAGTTTGCAAAATCCTATAGATAGATGGGGGAGATGCTTTGGAAAGCATCAGAGATACAGCATCACAGCTGTATCCACCAGGAGTTGTTTACACCAGGAAACATTGCTGAACGCCACAGTGTGAATGTCTCTTTCCCCTCTTTTTATTTCCCCAAATTAGATAAAAATGACTTAATCGCTTCACATGCCTAAAATTCATTTCCTATTTACTTGTCAAGCATCTATCAACATTAAAAGCCCAATCCAAGGATGGTTTTTATTAGAAGGGAAAATATTTCCTAAGACAGTTCCGAATTTAGCTATCACACAGACTCATATTTGAAGCTTCCTCATGTACACATTTTTAAAAAAATCAACTGAGCAAAATTCCCAGAGCACCCATCCTAGAGAAGCAAAGTGCTCTCATGCTACCCACACTCTACCATGATGAACAGCAAGCCCTCACTAGACAGACTTCTCATTTTAATGCTCATTTGCATATGGCAGCTGCATGTTAATTAAATGCCCAGGCCCCTGGTGATAATTACATGAGAATAAAAGACTGATGAAGACATAGTCTCAGACCTCAAGGGGCTTATCAGGTTGATATCAATTTTGTGGTTTTTCTTTTTTTTTCAACACTGGACCTTATGGGCACATGACCCATTATGTATTTGCAGATCAGAGCACAATTTTGATCTTGACATTATATATCTAGCACCCTTATGAGTATTTAAAATTCCTTGTAAAATAAAATTCAAATTCCTTCTGGACACAGCCATGCTTTTCAAACTTTAGCTACTATTTGTACTTGATAGGAAAAATTGCTTTGGGCTACAACCAGCTATTTTCATTTCAACTATACACTTTTAGGTAATGAGTTGCTACTTTCACTTAAATGACACATTTTTGAGCAATAAATACTGACCTCAATAATCCCTGTCCACCAGGAAAATGAATAAGATATAGAAAATATATTTTTAAAATGGATGTTTTCTTTCCATAAGTTATTCCCTGGAACAAAGTAGAAAAGACTATGGAAGCTATATTGGCACAGAGAGGCCACCAGGGTATGACCAAGTAAATCACAGTTCAGTACTCCAAATGGTACCCAAGTGACTTTCCAGACTTAATGCTACTTCTAAGTCTGTACATTAGCTGGAATTCAACATAAGTTATACTCATTTACTGGCTGACTGCAGGCTGAGATTCCATTCCATTTAGTATGCCGAAGCAGAAGTTTAACGGCACCCTTGTGGCCTTGGAGACTTAATGCAACTTCCAAAAAGATCTCACTTGCTTCAGGGAGAGGTGTGCATACTAGAGAATCAGGCTCAGGCAATATTAATTTTTCACCACCAGAATCAAGTTTGTTGGATTGCTCCACCTGCCTTCATGTGAGACTTAGGCAAACAGAGCTGCTAATTCAGTCCAGGCCACCAGCACTGAATTTCTGGATCAGCCTCCTGATTTCCTACCTACCCTACAGCCTCTCCAGTTGATTCTCTGCAAAGGTATAAGAAATTTTCTCTAATGTGCATGACTGAATTTGTCATTCCCCTACCTCAAAAGTTACCTTTCGTGGGTCCCTGTGGCCCTCAGAATAAAAGCCAAACTCCTAACCAGAGCTTCTTCACTAGGCCTTACCTGGTTTACCCCAGGTTTATCTTTAGGATGGGTCTGGTCATTTCCCTGCAGCCCCCAGCCCTGCCCCTCCAGGCACATATTCAGGTCTAACACTAGCAAACCAACACGCACTTCTGCCACTCCTATCACCTCCTGGTTCAGCGTGGACTGTAAACTCCCTTCTTCAGAGAAGCTTCCTCAAATCCCCTCTCCTTTCCCCCTATGCCTAGTATAGGTGTGCTGGTGTGTCTCTCTCACTCTCTCTTTCTCATATACATATGTATCTGTTTGTGTGATGTATGTGTGTGTATATCTATGCGTACACATACACATTCATGACTTACTAATCAGTACTTTAAACTAATTGCTACTAGTTGACGAGTCAGTACTAATTATACTTAAACAAATTAGCCTTCCCCTATAAAACAGAATATCAAAGAAAAAATTTGATGTTCATAAAAATAATTGGATTTTTTTTGCAGCCAACTCATGCAAATATCACCAGAGTATAAAATATAGTAAAAACACAAATAGGTGGCAACCATTTCTCAGTATTCTGTTTCAGGCACAGTGCTCATCTTCCACGTGCCCTATCTATCCTCTGTCACAACTCAATGCTGTAGGGAGTGTTAATATTCCCATGGTTTTCAGAAAAGGAAATTCAAAAAATTCATGAAAAACAGAATTAAAATATACTTATTTGGTATAAAATTTGAAATCTATGCACAGTTTGTCACAATACACATTTTCCATGAACTTTTTAAAGACCCTGCATATCCATGCATTTAAAAATTTTTTATCGAAACAAACCTTATAATTCCATTTCCATGAACTTTAGAAATATTCTTATATATATGCTTAGATAGGGGAGATACTGATTTTCAGAATAGAACACAAAGGAAAAACCTTTCCTTTCAGAACACCTCCAACAGACAACATAATTTTTCCTTTCACAACATTACTTATTTTAAAGGTAGAAAGACAATGGGCGCCAGGTTCTAGTCCCGGTTGCCCCTCTTCCAGTTCAGCTCTCTGCTGTGGCCCAGGAAGGCAGTGGAGGATGGCCCAAGTCCTTGGGCCCCTGCACCCGCATGGGAGACCAGGAGGAAGCAACTGGCCCCTGGCTTTGGATCGGCGCAGTGTCAGCTGTAGTGGGCATTTGGGGAGTGAACCAACAGAAGGAAGACCTTTCTCTCTGTCTCTCTCTCTGCCTATAACTGTCAAATAAATTTAAAAAAATATTTAAAAAGGTGGAAAGACAGAGATCTTCCATCCATTGGTTCCCTTTCCAAATGCCGGCAACAGTAGAAAAGGGTGAGAAGCATCTTCCTTGCGTGGGGTAAGCATAAACTATCTGAAGGAGATCAGAGAGTGGGGGAGTGGTGGTGGGGTCCTAATGGAAGTTTCTTGATCATTTAAGAAAAGACATTACCTAAATACTCCCATAATCCAAATGTTCCACATAGTAATAATGGTTTTCCTGGGACGCAGGAAAGTCTTGATTGTGAATCTCCTTCTAAGGATGAGGGGTAGGAGGAGAGAGGGAGATAGTAGGGAGCTATTACAAGTGCAAGGACTTGTACTTATCTGAGCTTGGAAATGAGAGATGGAGTTTGGAGTCGACAGCTAGGGATGGGGAGGCTGGGGAGGGGAATATGCTAATTAGGCTCTTTTCTCTGGCTTCCCTTGCATAGCCCACTATGTTGATTCGAGATGTCTTAACTGTTGTCCTGGACAGTCATCTAGCTCCAGCTTGCTCCTCTCACCCAATGCTCCCTTCCATCAGTCCTTGTATTCCTATTTTCAAGTTCTAATTCAAGTCCTCTCTTTCCAAAAAACCTCC